TCCACGGGGCAGGCTGCCGACAGACGGGCAAGGGCAACATTTACAAGATGGTACATTTCTCTGATTCTCTCTTCAGCCTGCTCGACTTGCACCTGCCGAGGTTTTCCGTTTCCGCCACATATAACCTGGAAGAGATTCTTCCCCAAATCGGGCTCGACAGCATATTCAGCTTGGAAGCAGACCTCTCGGGGATCACTGGGCGGCTCAACAAGACCATCTCCAGGGTAAGGCAGTGGAGGTGCACGGGTGAGATGCAGGGCCTCTCCCTTCTCACATGGTGGGAAATCAAGTCCTCCAGTCTGTTCCCTACGCAGGGCCTGCAAAATCACAATCTTTATAGCTTCCTTTCATGGACAACTCCCTTCCCACCTCCCCTCCTCCTAGATCTGTGTTTTCTGTGCAGGAATAGTGTTCTGCATACAGCAGGTACTCATTAGAGGTGATTCATGGGGCCATAATTTTCCCAGGTGTGGGATGGCTTTGTTTTGATTCCTAGTAGGTCCTCTTACTGGGGCAGCTGTGGGGCTCTACCTGCCTTCGTTATGGCTATGGGTAATAGTGGGACAAAAACAGGAGGTATATCATTCAGCTTTGCTGCAGTAACAAACAACCCCTACATCAGCTAAATATCTGCTTCCCATGACTGCTTCCCTCAGGGATATAGGGGAAAGGAGATGCCCCTGACCTCTTCTGTTCTCACAGAAGAGGAGGAAAGCAAGAGAAAAAGTTCAACAGCTCATTAACACTTGTCCCCATGCCTGACCTGTGTCATGGCAGTGCCCAGGCCATTTGCTAGATTGGGTTCCACTTTCATAACCCCAGTCCTTGGGGATGGGCCATGTTCTGCACTACAGGTGGCCCCACAAAACACATGGAATGGACAAAAGTTGACAACCCTCCAACAGGAGAGGAGAGCTGATATTTGGGAATAAGAATGCAGTGGCCTCTGAGGGCAGAGGCTGCCTGCGGGACACTGGGGAGGAAGCTAGATGGGGTTCCACTTTCATGATCACGGTCCGTGGGAAGGGGAGACAGTCAAGGCCCCTCTCTGAGCTTTGGTTAGGGGCATGGAGTGTGTGTGTGTGTGTGTGTGTGTGTGTGCACGCATGCTCCTGCGTTGTGCAGCAGGTGGGTGAAGAAGAAGGAAAAGAAATAGTCAAATGTCTTAAAGAGGCTTTTGCACAGTACCTTTTAAGTGCTTGTCTTTTCCTAGAACCTTTTGGAAATAAAATTGTAGTTGTTGGTTTTTTTTTTTTTTTTTTGATCCAGCTTTGTTCTTAACCCACTTTACTTTTTGGACATTTTTTCTTTTCCTTTCTCCTGCCTTTCTTTTATGAAATTCCATTACCCCACATATTGTTCTTATAGTATATCTCTCCCATCTATGTGTGAAATTCTATTTATTTTCTTCATTTTTTGTGTCTGTTCTTCTGATTTTGTAATCCATCAATCTTTAAGTTTATTAATTATTTTTTTCTGCCAGTTCAAATCTACTGTTGAATCTGCCAGTGAATTTCCCATATCAATTATTGTGGTTTCTAACTCCAGAATTTCTATTTGATTCTTTTTGATAGTGTCAGCCTTTATTGGTATTTTCTACTTGGTGCTACATTGTCATCACATCTTCCTTTACTTCTTTTATCATACTTTCCTTTAGTCCTTTGAAGATATTTGTAATGACTGTTTTGAATTTGTTCTCTGTTAAATCCAATATCTTTCTCACTCGAACAGCAGTTTCTGTTGCTTGCTTATTTTTCTATTTCTTTGCATGTTTCATAATTTTTTAAGGAATTTGGGTATTTTAGAAAGTATATTTTATCAAATTTGGGTACTGGTTCTATCTCCCCAAGGCTGTTAATACATATTCTACATTTTTACTGACTGGCTGGGTTATTTTAGTGATGCATATCTCTTCCTGCCCAAACGTTAAACTCCATTAATTCCAATGCCCAAGGGGAACATAAATTGCTCTTCAGACTAATCCAATCAAATTCATGCTCTTTTGAATTAATATTTCTCTAAATCAGTGTTTGAGTTTATTATAACTCTAAAGGGGCTCCTCCTAGCTCTCTCTTTCCACAGTTTTCTCCTACAGGCCTACAATTAAGCTGGTATTTTTATTGAGTCTATCTTCTCCCAATTGCCTTTCATCATAACCTACCTGTCTTAAAAGCATGCTTTGGCTTGAACTTCTAATCACTTTCTTGAGAATGAAATGGGCACCTTGGGGAGGAGATTAGGAGTTATCTGCTTTAAAGCTTGCTTCTTTCCTGGGGTAAAATATCTGATCCTAGCGTGGAACTAGCATTTTACAAGCTGAGATAAGGGCAGTTGAGGTGTGGGGGGGTGTCTCATTATTATGAGCAGTGCCACAACTGTGGTTAAAACCTCTGTTCCATGAGTGGAGCCTGAGTGTAAGATGGGAGACCCTTATCTCCTCTCAGCTGCACTTGCCCAGAACCTGGCTTCAGCAACATGTAATGGGGGAAGTATAAGAAATTTTGAAGTCCTAACTCCCCCAGAAAGATAGTTCTTCAAATGGAAGCCTGGGGAGGAGGGAGCCCTGTGTCCTTGGCAGTAGTGGTCTTACCAAACTGGGAAGGAGGAAGAACGGTTTCTTAATTCAAATACCAGAGATTACAGGTTTAGGTTTTCTTTGCCAAAGGAGGTAAGTCAATGGGAGCATTAGTCCTTCAAACAAGGATGGACTAATTAGCTTACAGCTCTCACAGTCCAATCATTTTTACCTCCTAACATTCCTGCGTTTACATAGGAGTTTTGGAGGGGCACCTCATATTCAAACTATAACAGTCATACCAAAACAATTGCATTGCTATGTGATTTCAGAAAATGGTATAACCAGTAATGTTCTGTAAATTTTTTTTCATTCTTTTTCTTTTTTGCAGTGCTGGGCATGGAATCCAGGGCCTGTACATTCTAGGCAAAAGCTCTACCAATGTGCTACATCTTAATGATTAATTAGCTACCCATAACTTAATGATTAATGATAACTTAATGATTAATTAGCTACCCATATCTCATGTACATGTCTATTCCTAAAATATATATTTCTCTTTTTTTTGAAATAAGATTAGGAATTGTTAAATGTATATAATTCTGGCTATGCCTTAAGACCAGTTTGTGATTTCTGGCTTACTTCTGAAATATAATTTGAGCAATTGTTTATGTTCTGAATTTCCTTGCTGTGAAAATTCAGTGTTTCTTTTCCATATAAAAGAATATTCTATTTATTTTCAGTATAAAATAATATTTCACATATTTCCATTCTAGATCATTACTTTCTAACATATATGCTTTTACTTGCAGAATGAGAAAACATGAACATTTTAAATTGTGGTTTATTCTGATCCTAATGTTTTATGTTTTATGAATGATGAAAAGAAAGTAAAAGAATGTTTTTGGGTCATCTACAGTTTGTTGCAATACATTTGAAAATAATTCTTTATTTTTTTCAGTGTCATTTTGGTGGAATCCACAACATTTGTCTATTTGCCATCACAATTAACTGAATATGGACAACACATAAGCTATGAGTAAATGTCTATATATTTTATATTCAAAAGTATCTGAGTAAAAGTTCTGAGAGATTAGCACTCAAGGAAACTTGTTATATTTATTATACCATAGTTTTGATTTATTCAAAATGTTTATTTGACATTATGTACACTCTCATTCAAATATATGTTAGGTGTTACTAGGATCATGTGCAAGAAAACTGTATAAATATGCACTTGATTAAATACAGTATATTTTCATTATTCATGAGAGTCATGTTCTAAAAATTTGTCACAAATACTCAATGTGAATACTGGACCTTTGCTCCTAGAAGAAAGAGTTGCATAGTTTATAATCTTGAATCTTAGAAATAACCCATATTAGTAGATTCTATTTTCCTTATTTTACAAATGACTTGACTGATGGTGCCCAACTACTAGGTGCCACGAAAATGATTCAAAACCTGTCCACCTGGCCCTAGAATTTGGACTTAATAGGGAATTGGAGCAATCACTGAATAGAACTCTGCACATGTCCTTGAACACTGGGAAATACCATGAGTGTTGATTTTAGGGTTACAAATAAATTTTGCAAATGAGCAAATTTGGAAACAGAATTCATGTATAATTATGATCAACTGTGTTTAAACTTGTTCTGCTTACATCATGAGGTCTTTATTTAGGTTAAAAATAACTTTGAGTCCTGAATAGAGAAGCATAATTTTTTTAAAGTTAAGATTATTTTATATTTCTCACCTATTTTAAGCTACAGAATTGGTGTTTAAAGTGAAGTATGTTTTAAACAGTGTTATCTAGATTAAAGAATGGCAGAAAGAAAATAGTTTTTCTACTGATGAAAACCATGTGTATGTTCATCATTTATATAATGATGTTAGTGTATTTTATACCTTCGTTCATCTCTGTGTAGTCCTTGACAGTATCAATGTGATTTTTTAGGCAAAAAAGTATTAGGAGGCAAGAAATTGGCAGTTTTGATAACATAGAAACTTCCAGTGTTAACGTCATCGGAAACTGTTGAAGTGCTTTTGCAAATTTTGATAAAATTAAAATGAGTATAGTTTATTTTCCAATGGTAAATTATATTTAAATATATTAAATCAATACTTCTGGGAGAGCATAAGGGTTTTATCTATTATATTTGATTTCTTCAATGGCTATTCTATGAGAAAAGTTGTTTAAGAAGAAAAACAATTTTTGTCTCATTGCATTGTTTTACTGAGTGCTAATTAAATGCTTAAGTAGGACATTCAAAGTTTTGCTTACATATTTTGCTTTAGTGGACAATAAAACATGAATTAATACTTTCATCTGTAAGATAGCACTATGGATACCATAATAATAAGAGGAATAAGGTATTTTTTTAAAAAAATTTCTTTGTAGATATGAATACTAATATTGCTGCAAACACTTCAGTTAACAGTTCTCCTAGATATTTTTTTTTCTTTTTAGTCTCTTGCTTTTTCTTGAATAAAGTGGCTGTTTTGTTGTCATCGATTTTGCCTGAATACCCTTGAAATAATTTATTCACATTACATATGAAAAAATTATATATTATGTATTAAATTAGATCGCAAACCAATGTTGTAGCAATCTGTGAGCATAAATAACTCAAAATCAAATTAGTGCGATGAATAGCAAAATTGAGTCTACTTTCATGATTTGCAATACACAATAGTAATTCTGTATCTCAAATTTTTGCATGTTTACTTTATATAATATTCTATAATAACTTTTATTGTATCCAAAGTTTTAGAATTATTAAATCCTTGGACTCTGAAGTTTTAAGTAAAGAAACTTTCTTTTTTATGGATTCTTATCTTTTTAAAATTTAATTAAGTTTAGTTTAGTTTAATTTTTTCCATACCAGGGATTGAACCCAGGGGCACTTAACCACTGAAACATATCCCTAGCCCTTTTTATTTTTTATTTTGAGACAGGATGTCACTGAGTTGCTTAGGTTCTTACTAAGTTGCTGAGGCTGGCTTTGGTTATAAGTTAGTGGAAATCAAGAAGGAATTTTCACCATTCAAATTCCCAAATCCACTGTACCCTTAGACCTCTGGTTAGGGCCCCTTCTTTAGATATTTTTCAACTGCCAGAGGCCAAAATGGTACAAAAAACAGCAAACATACCTACCATTGTTACTGTTCTCTACATGGCCACTGAGACACCCCCCACCCCATTTTTGAGGAGCTACTAGATTACATGGAGGATAGAATGAGTCTAAAACTTGATTCTCTCATATATTCTTCCACGATGTATGAAAACTAGACTTGAACCAGATATATTGCTATTTGGTTTAGACACAATCCCAATATAATCCCCTATTGTAATTTTGTGGAAGCTACAATAAAGAGTTTCCATTTAGTAAGGGCTTAAGTAGGAAATCATCTTTTGGGCTATTTATTCATGCCTGGAAGCTAACCAACCCAATGACATTTTAATTATTTTAGCTGCATAGGAAAAAATAGGAAAAATAAATTTTAAAATAGGAAAAAATAAATTTCACCCCTTTGCATCTCAAAAATAGCTTCTACTCCCTGACTCTCACTCCCTGAATTACCAGGAACTATTCCATTGTTGGATCACAGAAGTTTATATAATTTTTGCCTTTTTTGATGATATTTTTCCTTAAAACCAGAAAGCATTTAAACATGCTCCCTCTATTATAGTTTCAACCATAATCTAGAAATATGTATAAAAGTGGTTGCATAGATCTATGTGTAGGGAATAATAAAAAGGTAAATTAATTATTTTCTGTTTTGTCTGTAGGATATCCAAGATACTGGTTTGAATAAATAAATTAGGTATATCATTGACTTTCTAGACTCAGGAACATTAATCAAGTATAATGGAATTTTCACAAGCTAGTAATTTTAATAAAATTATTTTCTGATGTCTTTAACAATCATGATAATCATTTGTTTCATGAAAAAGCCAGGACAAATTTCTAAATCCACAAAGTTTTCTGTCTGTCTTTACCACAAAGAGTATAAGTATCTTAATTTATCCGAGTTTGAGACATTTCTTTGAAATGAGGCAATTCTTGACTTCTTCAAAGGCACTTTTATTACTTGTTTCTGAAAAAAGTAGGCAAGGAAAAGAAAAAGGATATGAAGTCCAGATTGGTGTGCTTTTCTACACACTATGATAAAAATGATTGAAGGACTAGAAATTGCAAGTATTGAACTAAATGTGGATTTTAATCAGGCATTCTACCGAGAGCTCCATTATCAAAAAGACGACAATGGAGCCATATAAGGAGAAATAATAAGCACTCTTTGTTATTTTTTCTACTCTGTATATGGTCTTCCTTATGAATGTAAAATGTCCATCTATTATTATTATGCCTATGGCAGCCTTAAATTAAAGTGTCTATCAAATGCCCAAATTATGTAAAATATTAAATGCATTTTACTTTTTTTAAAAAAAGCATTACAGTACCTAAGCTGCTAGCCAGAATGCTTGTGAGTAGAAAAAAGCACTGAACAATTACAAGTGGTAAATAACATCATGGAGTATGATGTAATGAAAAGACAGTGTTATTCATAAAATTAAAATAGGAAAAAAGTAATGGAGGTATTTAGGATAATGTTACTTGAAAAGTACTTTTTTAGAGCATCTGACTCAAATGAAAACAAATAACAAAGTGAGTAATTATGAAATTTTTGTATTCTCAGAAAAAAATAAGTCAATCAATGTGTTTGATCCCAAATATTAATTGACAGCTTGTTGAGCAAAGTGGTCCTGAATACTAAAGAAGTACAATATGCAGGAAATTGGTGAGGGTTCTAGAAGACATGTAACCTGTCAAAGAAGGCAGTTGCTTCAGGCTGTGATTTGCTACTTCATTCCTAGAAATGTAACCAATTATTAAAAAGAAGCAAATATGGAAATTTTACATACACACACACACACACAAACATATATTTATTTATTATTTTGGCACCAGAGATTGAACACAGGGGCTCTTAACTACTGAACTACTTCCCTAGTCCTTCTCATTTTTTTTTTCTGAGATAGGGTCTTGATAAATTGCTAAGGGCCTCACTAAGTTGCTAAGGCTGGCTTTGAATTCATGATCCTCCTTCCCTAGCCTCCCAAGCCAAATTTGGAAATAATAAACTTAGAAAAGATTTTTTTTCAAGTAATCAAGCTATAGAAACACTCTAAAACTCCAAAAGGAGAGTGTATTTATTTACTTATTTTTTAATGGAGAACATTGTCTCTTTGAGTCTCTGGATTAGGGTTATTATTATCAAATGTGTACTTCCCTACAAGGGTAAAAGGGTATCATTTTTATCAAATTTTTTAAAAGAGTAGTAGAAATATGGTCAATTGGTGTTTCCCTTATTATTTTTCTTTTACTTTATCAAACTATATAAGCATGAAATGATATATAAAATACATCTGTGATCTTTGCATGTCATATTGTGTGAAGTTGTAATTTTTAGGGCTCCATAAGATTTAATTAAGATAGATAATTGTTTCTGAATTTTTTTGTTTGCTGTTGATGTTGTTTTCCTATTTTCTTGTGATGGTGATGGTGTGATTAGCAAAAGATGTGATGATGCTCAGGACTCTTCCCATATCAAAATGGGCTTAAAAACCTGTGAGTATCTTAAATAAGTTTTTATGGGTTTTCATGTCTGACATTTATGCACAAAGCATAATATGAAATGAAATATTCATCAAGAGGTGTTTGCAACTATAGTCAGAATGACAAACCCTGGGGATCTCAGGTAGGATTAGAGGCTGAAGTGTTGGCTCCCTGCCTTTTCTATTGTTAACCCTTTTTTCTTTTATTTTTATTTATTTATTTTTTATTATTAGTTGTTCAAAACATTACAAAGCTCTTGACATATCATATTTCATACATTTGATTCAAGTGGATTATGAACTCCCATTTTTACCCCGTATACAGATTGCAGAATCACATCGTGTACATATCACAGCAGACACTAGTATGGCAGTATTGTTAACCCTTTAAGGGATTCTACCCACATCTCTCTGTTTACTAAGTTTTAGTTCCCTCTACTGCATAAGGAATGTGTTTAGATATGTGACTTTTTTTGTCTCTTTTGGATTATTTTGAACTGCTTAAACACACTCACCTGACAAATATTACTAAGTTTAGAATTGTGAGGATAGTATAGGTTTACTTTGTTTTATGAAAAAAACAGTAGGTCTAGAAACGATAGACAGGAAAATCAATATAAGAAAGTTCTGGTTATTCCTAGCTACAGAACAGACTACCCCAAATGTAATGGTATGAAACAATGAAAACACATTATAGTCATTATCTCTCATATTTGGGGAGTGGCTGGGCTCAGCTGGATGATTCTAGTTCAAGATCTCTCAAGGTGTCCCTTGAGATGGATACTGGGACTTGACTCATGTCAAAGGCTTTGTCATTCACATGCCTGATTGTTAATGCTGCCTTTTGACCTGGATCTCAATTGGGGCCATTGGCCTGGACACTTACAGGTAGCTTTTCCTTGTGGCCCAGGCTTCTTCACAGAATGGAAACTGGGTTCTAAAAGCAAGTGATCCAAGAAAGTGAGAGAACTAGGCAAAAAATTATATTATCTGTCCTAGTGTCAGAAATCCCATTGCTTCACTACTGCCACATTTTAGCATACTGTTTGTTGGGATGATGTTAATAAGGCTGGTGCACCATATCCCCACATTCAAGGCAATATCAAAGTGCCGCAAATAACTCAAACACAGGCCAGCATGAGCAAGGAAAAAGAAGAAGAAGAAGCCCCTTTATTGAATACAGCAGTTTTTTTTTTTTTATATAGTATTGTGAACAAAGAAGGCAGCATTCCAACAGCACTGACTCAGGTCTCTAAGCTAGCAAAACATTGTATGCAGAAGTAACTTACTAATCAGAAATAACCTGCTTCTCATGACTTAATCTACTCTTGGGCTGGAACATTCTGAGCTCTTCTCTTTGTAAAGAACAGATAAAAATTTTCTCAGAGCCCTCCTAGCCCACTTGGCAGAACATCCTGTTTGCAGGCAAGCTCCACCAAAGACTGCAAAGCGTCTCGTTTGCAAGCATGCATGCAGTCATGTCTGATTCTCTACACAGAATGAATGGACTCATTTTAAGAGTACTAAAAACAGAAGTGTGTATATATTTCAGTATATAAGACAGTCCTTCATTTCCTGTTCACATTGTTATACTTTGTAATATAAACTATTATACAATCTACAAAAAGTTGGAGATTCATGAGTGATTCTTTTACTATGTATAGCCAGATTAATTTTAAATAGTAGTGAAGTTCCCTTTGTTAAGAAATTTTTAACATAGGGGTCATCATTATCCATTTTTGTTACAACCTGCTTGACCTGGAGTCACCCATACTTTCATTTAAAAATATAATGTATCATCTTCTAATTCTGTGTTCTAATGTTATAAATATCTTATAGATCCCCAAATGCATACTAATTTAAGCAGCTCCTTTATTTGAATAGCAGTTATAATATCATATATCAACTAGCTCTGTGTCATGTTTTGGTAGCAATTAAATCCAATTTCATCAGAGAGTTCTTCTGCTCTGTACAAAATCTTTCCCTGGAAGGAAGAGGATCTTCAAGCCTGGAGCTCTACTATCTTCCATTTGATATCCACATACGCTACTGTGCCATCATCTTGCATAACAAAGAGGTGAGAACAGAACTGGTTTATGCTTCTATCATGGCCTGCCACTGTAATGACACAGACCACTTAAAGGCAGCTGAATATTATAAAAATGTAGATAATTTCAGTATCCAAGTTGCTAGGAAAGGAGCTCATCCTCAAAAATATTCAAAGTGTTCTACTAGTTGAGGGTAAATTTAATGGAGTGCACAGGGAAGTATCATGGGAGCCAAGCGGTGCATGCCTAACCTTGCTGTGGCTCCATCTGTATCTAAGTTATAATAGAGTTACCCTCTTTCAGAAAGCATAGCTATGTGTTGACCAGAGGAAGGAATTTATAATCCCCATGATATAGCCCCAAATGTGTCCATTATATATATCCTATATTGAGTATATATATAATGAAAATTACCATTTGATAATTGGAAAGAGGTATTGTACTTTTCTGGCATTTATAGACTCATTTACAGATGAAAAATAACAAAGCTTAATAAACATGTAAAATACATTTCAATTTTACACGTAAATTGCCACTTAAAAAATCCCTTTTTATAACAATACTAAAACTTGGCTTTATTTCCTTTAAAGAAGTTTAGTGGCTGGGGATGTAACTCAGTGGTAGAGTATGGGTCTATTATGCACAAGGTTCTGGGTTTCATCTCCAGCACCATAGTTAACAGCAACAAAAAATAATGCAAGCTTTAAACACATTCCTCCCTATGTAAGATTTGTGCAAAATAATAGCAACTAGTAGTTTGATCAAGTGCTTTAAAATCCCTTTTTCAAAATCTGGGATTAATTCTCAATAGCCTAGTAATGAGGTTGATCATTTTCTTTAAATAGACTAATAGATTACACAAATAGATTGTTTATACAAATCTAATCTAAATTAATAAAAATATAATTATACTTAATTTGATATTTAAATTTATTAAAACATGACTTTGATTGCCTATATTTTGTCCTTGTCAGAGAATCAATAATAAAAATAATAATAATCTTGGAAATACATGGCTATCTATTGAGAGATAATGCCCCAATTTAAAGGATTATATTTAATTATAATGACATATATGGGAAAACACATATATTAATTTACACATTCAATTATATTGCTAATTACATAGAAAAAATGCAATTATATGCTTAACTAGATAATAAAATATCCAAGCCCACCTAGTTAGCTCCTGTATCTTATTAAGTGTGTTATAACTCCTTTGTCATTGAGACTCACCTGTTGAAAACTATAAAATACTTAGGCCTCTATTAGGTAGCTTTCTATGTTTACAATAAAAACATTTCTAGTAAGAGTGCTATCAAGGAACTGCTATTTGTTTCAGTTTGGCTGTTCCATTTGAACTTTCAGAGAAATGAAGTAATTTATGTATTTAATAACTGTTTGAAAGTAGAAATAGGGTGGGGTTGGGGTTCAGTGGTAGAGTGCTTGCCTAGCATATGTGAAGCACTGGGTTCATTCCCCAGCTCCACATAAAAAAATTAAAATAAAGGTATTATGTCCATCTACAACTAAAAATAATTTTTAAAAAAGAAAGTAGAAACAGTTTTATAAAACTTCTATCAATGTTCACAAAAATTCTTAGCTTAGAAGAAAACCAATGAAAGCTCTAAAAAGTTATTTTATTAGATGCCAGAAACCCAAACTAATTTCTGCTGTAATGTGGAATGGGCAGATTAAGTAGAGGAACCTCAAGTGGAATCAGGACTCAGTCCCTTAAGAATTATACCTCCAGGGAGGAAAGGTTAACAGACCACTTTACAAAACACACAAACACTGCAAAGCACACAGCAGTATATTGACCATTTCCTGTTTTTTCACTTTGGTGCCTAGCATATGAACATCTGTTTACCAAGTAGGAAATCACTGGCATTGCTGAACTCAGCTGTTTCAGGGTAATGGGGTAATCAAGCAGAGATCCTTCTCTTGGGAGCTGGATTAAGAGTGGCTTCCAGTGCAGCTACTTGCTGTGATATACTAACTCTTTCCCACCAACCCTTGAGCACTTTCATTTAGACAGTCTAGCACTTACCTTCCCTCTGGTAGATTTATCTTCCCAGCCTTGGTTGTCCTCTTCTGTTTACAAACCTTAATCAGAAGAAATTGAGACCAAATGCAAGTATTGTTGACATGTGGCAGCCTGGATGGGAGCCACCCTGCCTGAGCAACTCATGTAAATCAATCCAGTACCATAGCAGGATTCCCTATATCAATGCAACTTTTAGTTTCCCCAAGTTAAGCTAAAAATTATCAGGGTAAGCATGCTTACTTCCAAATAAAAGACCTCATAAGACCTTCTTTTGGATTTATGGTCTATAATAATTTAGTTTACAGTGATTCACAATAGTTTTTAAAAATATTGAATATCACTCTGGTCATCTGCCATATATGTGCATAAATATATGGGGCCACTTCTCTGACTCTTTATACTGTGCATCAGTTCATTGTCTTTTAGTCTTTTATGTCTTTCTGTCTGTGCTCATGCACAGATTAAGTTGACAATCTTTATTTCAAATAAAATTTATTTTAGACATTCTACAACAAATATAAATTTTTTTCAATCATAATTAAAGTTCAGAACTTAGTAATACTGATTTGTGACTCCATTTATCAAATATGAAAGTAAAAACTTGAAATCATATTATGCTGAAATCTTTATATAATTTTAAATTTAGTCAAACTAGCTGAAGTTTTGTTAAAGATAACTTGGAATGAGTTTTATTTTAAGATTATTTCTTTTTCTTTTTGATTTTTAAATGGCAAGGCACATTTCATTCGCTCATTAAATTTTTTTATTCAATTTGTCACAATTGCTTTTCTTTTTTGTGGGGCAGGGGATCGGGGATTGAACCCAGGAGTGCTTTACCACTTACCCACAACCCTAGCCCTTTTTATTTTTATTTTTTTTTAATTTTGAGACAGGGCCTTGCTAAGTTACTGAGGCTGGCCTCAAACTTGTAATCTTCCTGTCTCAGCCTCCCAAGTCACTGGGAATACAGGCATGTGCCATCAGACCCAGCTACTTCTTTTCTTTGTTATGGGAGAGGGTAACATACATCCCACCCCCAAAAGCACACCCTTAGCATCTTGGGAAAACAGGTAAGATAAAATACTCTCAGGCCCATAAAATACTTTGCAACATTTAATTACCTCATAATGCCCCCTAGGAATCTGGAATTATGTAACCATTAAGTCTCCATCTATGTGATAAATATTCACAAAGATACACAGAGTTTCAGACTTCTCCCCCACTGCAAGGCCATTTCCCAGTTCACCCACCTTCCTTTCTCCTATTAACTGTAAAATCTTTATCTTACACTAAATACTATAGCCTTTTCCATGTAAAATATAAGGCGAAAATCTGATGATGAAAATTTGTACCTGTTGCATACTTATTCTTGAGGATACCTTCTGGGTTCTTTATAAAAAGTACTACCAACTAGATTGTAAAGATCCTACATCCCTGGGGTACCAACATTTTAGCTCCAGGGGACTCTATCTCAAATGACACATAGTAAATGAAGAAACAATACTTTGTATTTTCCCAAATTTTTGTTACTTTTATGAATTCTTCCATACTTTTCTTTTTTTCTTTTTTCTTTCAATGCTGTGGATCAAACCCATGGCCTTGTGATTGCTGGGCTAGTGTTCTACTACTAAGCCACCTCCCCAGACCCACAAACCCTCTAATTCTTGAAGGAAATTGTTTATACAGAGAATAACTATAGGAAATTTTAAATTTGCCACCCTCAAACAGCTCACACAGAAACTTGGTGTGCATTTAAATTATAGATACCCCCCTCCAGGTTGGTGAGGAAAGCTTGCTGAATGTACAGCATGTTCCTATAAAAGAAACACGCATCACTTACCTTGTGCTGGAACAACATGGCCCTCAACATGCCCCCTTGCAAGGAATAATATTTGCTAATGTGCATAGTATCCTGGAATGTCTATTAATTTCTATAAAACAGTCAAACTTGACAATTTCTAGAATAGAGGAAGAATGCATCTCTATATGATAGTAGAGACAGGGATAATTATAGAGGAGTTTGTTCAATATGGATGAATAGAAATATTTCAGTTAAAAAAGAAAAATTGTAAAACAGATGGTGGAATTAGATGGACATCATTATCCTAAGTACATGTATGAAGACACTAATGTTGTGACTCTACTTTGTGTACAACCAGAGGTATGAAAATTATGCTCTATGTGTGTAATATGAATTGTAGTGTATTCTCCTATCATATATAAAAATTAGAAGAAAAAATTAAAAAAAAGAAAAGTTGGAGAAGGGAAAAGTATGTTCTAGAAAAACTTCTAAAAACATGAGGCAAAACAGCTATTTATGAAATTTCATGGATGCTTGAAATATGAATTGTCAGATTGGTTTGTTGAAAGTGGCAGAAAATTATTTGACTGGGAAGATCAGATAGATATTAAGGAGAAGACTTAGTTTTAAGTTCAAAACTTAGCTATTATTATTATTGTTGCTATTATTATTGAAAGCAAGTACCTCATTGAAACATAGACAGGGCCTGATTTCATGTTTGTTTCTATAAACATTTCTGGTAGCAAAACAGAGAATAGATTAAGAGTTAGAGACAGAAACTAGAAGCAGGGAGATTGGCTGAGAGATTCTTGCAATCTATTACATGAGTCCACACAGCAATATTCTATATGGCCCTCTGTTTTTCTGCTCTGTAAATCTGATATGGAACAACAAGGACTACCATGGATCACTAGCATAGAAAAAGAGAAGAATGTGGAACTCAATAGTGAGAGAAGAAATTATATTGGGGGAAGAAGGAGGAAAAACAAAGTAGAGGGCAAGAAAGAACTGTAGAAATTCTACTGATACAAATATGAAGCTTTTTAAATTTTTTGTTTATTTAAATTAATACATAGTAATTGTACACATGTATGGACTATAGTGTGTTATTTCAATATATGTATAATTTGTGTAATGATCAAATCAAGGTAATTAGCATATCCATCACATCAAACACTTAT